AGCAAGATATTCTATAGAGGATATATGGATGGAGTAATTTCTTTTTAATTTTTCAGACTTTAGTTTCTTATATCTAGACTTAAACTTCATATTCAGGCTTTAAAATTTCGATATTTAGTTCTAATTAAAATTATATAAAAATTTCATTTCTTAGTCTGCACGCTCTACATTTGAGTCTTCAGTATCTAAAGAGTAAATTCTATAATTGGTCCTTTATAAGTGGAGGAGAATATATATTGTGCAACTGGTTCTACGGTGTTTCCCGTACCTCCACGGCGAACGCTGATTTACGAGTAACTGAGTGTTCATTTTCAAGCAAGTGAATACTCATTCTCGAGTAATTGAATACTCATTTCTCTAAAATTCAGTTATGCTCGAAAATGAGCATTATTCAGTTACTTGAAAATGAGTATGTCGTTTCTCGAAAATGAATACTTTGTTATTACTTGACAATGAGTATTCACGCGAATATACAAAAAATACAGTACATTCAAATATATGATATAGGTATTCGGAGAATATATATCATTATACTTGTGCATAACAATCTCACGTTTGAATATAATGTGTGGCTTTCAGGTCTGTATCAAGTATGTTTACCTTGCTATCGGCTCGGGACTAGCTTCATTTTTACGTAAGTGCAAATATAATCTTTTTCCTCATATGCCATGTTTGACAAAAACTTACTGCATTGAACATTTTAAGATCTCCTGTTTTCATTTTTAATTGTCTGTTTCGTTTTACGTGTCAAACGAAATATCCGTCTTACGTGGTCTATTATGATATTGAATTAAGGGAATGATATTTTGGTGTTGACTTTTTCAAATTATCATTGATGTGATGAGTAAAAGTAGATATGATGGGTAGATTGTTTGTAAATAAGTATGATATGATCGATAGAGTAAGAATTAATACGAGTAAAAATAATTTTTTATTAGAAATGAGAAACATATTTGGAGACAACTAATGCAGAAAAAAGAAAGGAGGAAGAATATAATTTTAGATTATGCTCCCTCCGTCTCATAAAGTCAGTTCTGTTTCGAAAAATTTGCGTTCCTTAAAGTCCGTCCCATTTCTATTAAAAGACCACTTTTAGTTTTTACTTTTTCATGCCCTACCTATCACATCAGACTTTTTTCCTAATAATCTACTCATCATATTCTACTTTTATTCGTCACATCAAGGGTATTTTTGAAAAGTCAACATAAAATTATTCCTCTTTATTTTTCCACTTTAGTCAAACTGTTTCTATCTTTATGGGACGAAGGGAGTATTCAAATTGGGAACATAATCGTGTGAACACCAGCTAGAAATCCTAGAATTGGAACCTTATATACTCCCGGGTAGTTATATACCATGTTCCATTTTAGGGCAAGTAACACTTAAGCATCAAAACCTCCAAAACTTTTTCTCAAAAATCGAGTCAAAGAAACGGATCACATCATCTATCAATGGTGTGTGTGCCTGATTAATAGTTGTTTCTTTATATTCAGTCTTCAATAACCTCAATTTTTTGAAAACTACGAGTATTTAGTAAATATTCTTTTAGGCCAAATATGACAAAAGGAAAAAAATACTAAAGTACGAGTAAAACATTGAAAATATACTAAAATAGAAATTTCATTTTTTTATTCTCGAAATAAGAGTAAAAATGCATTTATACTGTCAATCGTGACCATATACATTACCAAAAAAGTATTGTGAAATGTCTATGTACAATGCCACATTACCACAATGCAAATACTTATACTGAGAATAAAAACATGGAATTGTTATTTTGATACTTTTTTACATTTTACTCATATTTAGGGTGATTTCTTTATGAGAAAATATTTTTTTTGACATCAAGTCCCTGAAGGACCAATTATAGAATGATTTTCAAAAGTTTAAGATCATATATGAATTGGGGACTAAATATAGAAAAACACTGATAATTAGGAACTATTTACGAAATTTACTCCTATAGTAATCTAGCAGAAAACTGTGTCTGGGTACCTTCTATTTTGATAAACTAACTACCGGGTACCTCATATTTTTAAATTATATTCCGGGGTACCCTCTTTTTTTGAGAAAAATTAACTATCGGGTAACTCATATTTTTAAAATATATTCTGGGGTATCTCCAAATGTATATTAAACTGGATAGATCGTACCCGTGAGGGACATTCCGTTTCATTCGAAAACTTCGATTAAACTGGATAGATCGTATCCTTAAAGTATACGAACCAAAGTTATTTTTGGAATTCCAAACCCCCATTTCTTAAAATTAATGGTGTAATTGACTTTGACGGAGAGTGAGACGGAATGTCCCTCACAGGTAAGTTAATGTATACTTGGAGGTACCCCGAAGTATATATTTCAAAAATGTGAGGTACCCGATAGTTAGTTTCTCAAAATAGAAGGTACCTCGGAGTATATTTTAAAAATGTGAGATACCCTACAGTTAATTTTTCAAAATAGGGAGTACCTAGGAGCAGTTTTCTGGTAATCTAGCAATGTTTGCCTTACGTCTCATGGAAGTAGAAGATTGTGCGAGATATCCATTACAACAATATAAATCACCGCAAATAAGACTAAAACATAGAGAAAAGTACAAAAATAGGACTTTCATGTTTTTTTTCGAAATAAGACTTCACATTGTGGTAATGTGGTTGTAATGTGACACTGTACATGTGCACATTACTATACTTTTTGGTAATGTACATGACCATGTTTGGTAATCTAAATACATTTTAAATCCTATTTCGGGAATAAAAACATGGAAGTCATATTTTGGTATATTTTTAATGTTTTAGTCTACTTTGGTCTTCCTCCCTTACAACAATAGCGAAAACTAAAGAAGACACAAACAAGAAATGAATGATGGTGGCATAAACCATGTTTGGGAATAACTTTAGAGATTAGCGTCAGCGTTTTGGATAAAAATTCAACGGTGTAGATTACTTTGAAAACGCTAATGCTAAACGCTACCCGTAGATAGCTTTTCAAAACGCTAACGCTATTCCAAAACAGGCTCATAATGGTAGAGCATTGATGAAAATTAAAGCTCTTACGACTCTAAAAAAGAATGAAAAATATTACCGTCTAATAGAATTAATAATATTTAAAAAAATAATCTAAAAAAAGTGAAAAGTTTAATCAAAGGATCCAACAAAAGTGATGCATAGTACAAAGATATTGGGGATGTGGATAGCTCATTAAAACTCTTTATAAGTTGTTTTTAACTTAACACAGTTGATGTCATATTTTTTCTGTGTTTGTAAGCTGATCGACTTGTAACTTAAAAAAGTAAGTCTAACCTACATATTTTTAGAGCTTGTTCTTTTGGGCTTACATGATCAACTTTCACTCTTTTTCAATTCTTTCAGTTTTTCTAGCTTTTTCTAATTTTTTTAGGTCTTTCTGATTTCTTCTACTTTTTTTAGTGTTTTTTTCCAACTATTCACATTTTCTAAAAGTGATGTTTTTATATGATGATGATTATTATTATTATTATTATGATTATGATTATGATTATTATTATTATTATTATTATTATTATTATTATTATTACTCCCACCGTTCTAAAACTATCTTCACATTTCTCCTTTTTCTCTGTCCTAAAACTATCTTCCCACTTCTTAAAAAAGGATGTAAATAGACTATATTACCCCTTAACCTCTCTCTCAATCGTTGTCATCCTCTATCTTTCATCTTTCTTCCTTCTCCCTCTTCCTCCATCTCACTTCCCTCTCCTTTTTCCTCCATCTCTCCTTCCTCTCCCTCTCCCTCTTCCTCATCTCTCCTTCCTCTCACTTTCTCCATCTCTCTTCCCTCTCATTCTCAACTAATCTTCATCTTTGTCTATAGATTTAATCCTCTCCATCTCTCTTCCCTCTCCTTCTTTCTTCGTCTCCTTCTCAAAATCACAGATCTACGATCTATGGTTTTCAAGTTCGGTTCCCCTTTCGATCTACAATTTACCAAGTCTCTCTCCCCCTTTTGATCTACGATTTTTCATCATCGCCGATACCAAGGGGCGATACTGGCGATTGATCACGCACTTCACCGGATGTCAGCCCTGCAGCGGGGACAACAACCAGATGTACTTCGGCATTGAACTTTGCCGACAACCAGGCGCTCAGGAAGTATGTGGTTTGTGCGCCCAGATCTGTCGGTGATGACTTTTGCCAACAACCAGTACTCCATCGATGATTTTTTGGTTAGTTTTTTTAGTTCGTGACGCTGGGAGATTTCTTCGTCTCCATGCTTCACTCCATCTTCTCAATCACTGCCCTTGGGAAAGAGGGGTATTTTTGGAAGTCAAAGTCATATTTATCCATCTCTTAGAAATGACTTTTAGTCAAAGTGGGAAGATCAATATAAGACGGAGGGAGTATTATTATTATTATTATTATTATTATTATATTGTTATTGTTGTTGTTGTTGTTGGAATTCCTACATTAGAAAAAGTAATGAAATACCACTAGCATGTATGCATGTATAGAAGGGCGAAGCTTTAGGTATAAGTTTAAGTTTTAGGTTAGAAAGTAAATCTCAGCTTTATATGCAAGTGTTGAATTTTACCCGTCACTCTGTCTGTTGTTCTCGATCTATTGGAATTTTAACAATTATTATTATTATTATTATTATATTCACAACTATTTATAAATTATTTTAGTTTATATGTTTTTTTATGTCCCTCAAAATAATGTCATTATTTTTATGATAAACACTCATTATTATCTTTACTTACACTTTTTAACATAAATAACACAGAGTATAACTTTTTTTGTTTATTAATTTACATGACTAATGACCTTATCTATGTTCCCAAAAATATGGATAAAAGAGCTACTCGTTCCGTCCCACTATATTTGTCCACTTTACATTTAAGGTAAACAAAATGAGATGAAAAGTCTATTATACCCTCTCCTCTAACTAATGTGAAAAAAAGAGGGGGGGGGGGGACAGAAAAATATGTCATCGCTAAAGCCTCCATCAAATCCACCGCTATCGCTGCTTGTTTTGTAGCCTACCGCCGTCGACACCAGTTCTGTAGCTTGTCACCTCCGCCGCATCTGTAGTCTGCCTAATTTGCTGAAGTGTGCTCTAGCTGCCACCACTGCCAAAGTTTGTGAGCGCTGCTGCTCTGGCTCGTTGCGATCATTACAGATACCTCCAAATCGTCGCTGCCTCTACTAGGATTCGTCTATGCCTGCAACAACATCCTGCATCTAGCATCACAAATCTAGTGGTGCGAGCTTCAGATCTGACACCGACACACTCAATAGCTAGTTTTGAATCTGTAAATAAATGCATAGGGTTCCGGCAATCATTGTGAATGGTGCCAACATCTTCTAATGAATTTAATGATGGGAATTTACAGATTCAGTGGAACCGTGCAAGGAAGGATAGGCAATCAACAACTCTTCCGTCAAACACTCAAAATAATGAGGGGCATTTTGGACATTACTTACCCCATCTTGGTATTTGCGCAAAAATGAAAGTAGACAAACAAAGTGCGAGGGAGTGAGTATTTTTTATTTATCTATCTAAATTGACCTAGGAAAACATCAATATTTTAAATTAAAAGATAATAACTATACTTCTACATTTTGAAAAAGAAAAAAACAACCCTAAAAAATTTGTAAAATTAAATTCAGGTAACAAAAATATAACTAATAATTAAAATAGAACTAATAAAAAATTAACACTTTTTTCCAAACATTTTTAGTTTTTCCGGTCCTTTTAGTTTTTTGAGCTTTTTTTTCTTGTTCCTCTAGATTTTTTTTTTCAATTTCTTCCAACATCTCAAGTCAATTTTCCAACTCTAAACAATAGATTACTAAGCTCATACTTTCTCTAATTCAAAATACTTTACATAAAATATTCTAATAAACAAAGCTTAAAATTTTATGGAGACAACTCCAACAAGGTTAAAGTGACACTAATTTTTGGAAATTGGCACAAACGCCACCTCTTTGTATTGTGTCATGGGATTTATTGAGAAAAATTTCAACGAAACTAGTTTTGCCCGGCCTTAAAGTTATTGAACTAATTTTGCATATTTTTACTATTACAAGGATAGACATTGAATTCTTGATTACTTGACAAAATGTATCCCCGTTTTTATCACAGAGATGTCTTGTTGGGTGGTTGCCGGAGAGCGACAAGCAGCTCGCATAAGAGGACTGTACTTGCAAGCCATTCTGAGACAGGACATTGCATTCTTTGACACTGAAACTGAAACTGGAGAGGTCATAGCTCGAATGTCTGGTGATACTATTCTCATTCAAGAAGCCATGGGTGAAAAGGTAAATGTTATGTGTTCCAAGTGATAATATTATTTTTTTCAACTGACATTTTATGCAGTAAAGCTCATGATTAATTCATTTCAGAACTGTCCGAGTGATGATATATGCAAGTATTTTGCAAATGTGTTGTAATGCCTTGAATCTGACCCGACGGTATACAATGTTGATGTATTGGGCTATTAATTATCTGTCAATTCTGTACTTTGGGCCCAAGCCTGTTACAATGTAGCCTAGCACTATATACATATAGGTGCTATCACAAACCCTAAGCTATATTCTATTCTTGCCTCTCCATAATAAAACTGCTCCCCCTCTTCCCGTGGATGTAGCCAACACAACGTTGGTGAACCATGTTAAATCTGTTGTCGTGTTTTTCGTGTTCATATTGCTATTCTTGAATTCCGTATAACAAATTCCAACATTTAATCTATTGTCGTGTTTTTCCTGTTCATATTGTTATTCTTGAATTCCGTAAAACAAAATGTTTTGGAATGAATATAAGGGAGCTCAATTACTTGTTCATATAAGAACGTGTAAACAGCTCCTTTTTTTACTACTCCTAATAATCATTCATCGGTTGTTTTCAGGCTGGGAAGTTCATACAATTTACTTCAACATTCATTGGAGGCTTTGTGATTGCCTTTATAAAAGGATGGCTTCTTGCATTGATTTTATCATCCAGCATACCCGCCCTAGTTATTGTGGGAGGATTCATGACATCGCTCATGTCAAAAATGTCAAGTCATGGACAAGTTGCTTATGCACACGCTGGAAATGTAGTAGAGCAGACAATAAGAGGGATTAAAACGGTAATATATATGGTAGAGCACAAGGTTTCCTATGTTATTCGTTGTTCGTTGAACTAAATGAGTTTCACTATTCCTTGTTTGTTGTTTCACATAGTGAAACGAAATGAGTTGAACTATGTTCAACGAATCTCTCTAGCAACTTCGTACCTCCCACCTTTCGGCTGGTCAAGATACCACTTTGGGGTTTTCTCTCAAAAGTAAACGTGGAAATAATCTCCCATCATTCAACATAACTAATGTGTTGTTTATGCATAGGTTGCCTCATTCACAGGAGAGATACGCGCAAGCGACAAATACGATGACCAACTGCAAACTGCTTATAAGTCTATGGTGGAACAAGAGTTGGCTTCTGGTTTAGGACTTGGTGTTATGTCACTAGTGGTCAATACTACTTACGCTCTTGCTATATGGTATGGTTCAAAGCTGATAATCCACAATGGATACACAGGAGGAGACGTGACTAACATTCTTTTTGGCATCATGACGGGAGGAATGTAAGCATTTACAACCATCTGTTTTTAATTACGTCAGTTTTGATTTTTTTTAAATAAACAATTGTTATGCTTTTATAAGTTGATCACAAAATTGACAAAAGGAAATTGTTGTGTGTTTATAAGTAATTTGATTACGAAAATGACACTGTTAGGTCACTAGGCCAAACAAGTCCATCTTTCAATGCATTTGCAGCAGGGAAGGCAGCTGCATACAAAATGTTTGAGACAATAAATCGAAAACCATATATCGATGTTTCTGCCACAAGTGGCATTGAAATGGAAGACATGAGGGGCGAGATCGAGCTGAAGGATGTGTATTTCAAATATCCGGCGAGGGAAGATGTGCAAATTTTCGCTGGATTTTCCCTTCATGTCCCTTGTGGCAAAACTGCAGCTTTGGTTGGTCAGAGTGGAAGTGGAAAGTCTACCGTTATTAGTTTGCTGGAACGGTTTTATGATCCTGATTCTGGAGAAGTGCTCATAGACGGTGTTAATCTTAAAAAATTTAAGGTAAAATGGTTAAGGGAGAAAATAGGATTAGTGAGCCAAGAACCAATCTTGTTTTCTACTAGCCTAAAAGAGAACATAGCCTATGGTAAGCAAAATGCTACAGATACAGATATCAGAGTAGCAATAGAGCTTTCAAATGCTGCCAAATTCATTGACAAGCTCCCTAAGGTAAACTTCCCCCCATTTTTCCCTTTTTAAGGTTACGTTGTAGTCAAATCAATACTCCAAGTGTTCTTTAATAACTGTCCATTGACTATAAAGACATTTTGTCACAAAAAACTATCTGTTTAGCATCAAAGAAGTCGTGAGCATATCCAAATTACTAAGTTACCCTCATGACTTCATTTTCCTTTTGCTTGCTACTCCCAGCATTCTCTTTTAGGTGCCTTCTTAGTTGTCCACACATGCACTAAGAAAGAAATTAAAGAATATGTGGTATGATATGGTCAGTATATCCTTTTTAATGTTTCAAAGTACTATGTAATTTGTATGGATGGATAAGGGTACAACAAAAACCAAGCCTTGACCCACTAGGTGGGGTCGCCATTGCACCCTAAGGGTAATCGTGGAAAATAAGTAATTAATACCCTCTTGAAATCCAAAGAGGAGAGTGACAGTTAAATGAGAATGGATAGAGTACTTTCACTTTCTAGAAATCAATAGGAGGTTTGTCAATTTATGACAATTAAGTATCAGCTTAAGACCACACTTTTTATGAATGGGAAGTTAAATTTGAGAACACAGAGTGCATAAGAATAAGCTTTAGATTGTCGCATATTTCATTGTAGGGACTGGATACAGTGGTTGGTGAGAATGGAACACAACTATCTGGTGGACAAAAGCAAAGGATTGCAATTGCAAGGGCCATTATAAAGAACCCAAAAATCCTCCTCCTTGATGAAGCTACTAGTGCTTTGGATGCAGAATCAGAACGCACTGTGCAAGAAGCACTTGACAAGGTTATGAAGGGAAGAACCACTGTGGTTATTGCTCATCGCTTGACAACGATTCGAAATGCTGATCTGATAAATGTAGTAGAAACCGGGAAGCTCGTGGAACAAGGTATGAATCTCTTTACTCTTAGGGTATGTTTGGAACCTGGAATTTACAACAACATCGTCATCATCAACCAGCTCAAAAAAACAAAGAGGCTGTTTCTGTTTTGTCCAAGATGCATTGCTGCGTTTTCTTCCTAAAAAGCCAAAACTTCCTAGAATGTAAGAAGAAATGGAAATTAATGTGCCATGTTGATTTGGTCCATAATTTACTTAAAGGTAAAACATCGTCAAAAGTGTTTTTTTAGCTCCATTGGCAATGGAAAAGAATATGAAAGGATAAAAGAGAAGATAATTAGAGGGGATTAAAGTCGATCCATTCATTTCAGATATTTCTTTCCATTCATTTTCATTTTGCAAGTTAAAACTAATCATTAGAAAATAACTACTCATGACAATTTTTTTCATTATCTAAACATACATCAGAAATAGACTCGTAAATGTAATCCGGCTGGAGTGGTCTTCTTACATTGTCTCTTACTGTAGTATGTTTTTGTATTAGGCACTCATGATGAGTTAATCAGAGATCCTAATGGGGTGTACACACAGCTAGTAAGAATGCAGCAAAGATATAAGCAAGAAGAGATGACAAAAGATTTGGAAATTAATCTCGTGGCAATGACAAATGTCGATGAGTTAAGTAGATCATCATCAAGCTTAAGATTCTCTACCATGAGACGATCCACAAGCCATGGGTCATCAAGACATTCTTTCACACACACCTGTCCTATTCCGGGAACAATTGACATCCAAGAATATGAAATCAGAAATGATCAAAAAGTTGAAGAGCCATGTGATGGAACTGCTAAAAAAAGGAACGACGTGTCTCTGAGAAGGCTTGCCTTCCTTAACAAACCAGAAATTCCATATTTGTTTCTTGGAGCAGTAGTTGCATGTTTTCGTGGACTACTCTTTCCCTTATCAGGCCTCCTCCTCTCCATCGCCATCAAAATTTTCTTTGAGCCTCAGCCAAAATTGCCAAAAGATTCCAGGTTCTGGGCACTTGTGTATATTTTGGTCGGCCTTACGACTTTAGTAGTTGTACCCATCCAGAATTTGTTCTTTGGAATTGCGGGTGGGAAATTGATCCAGAGAATACGCTCATTAACATTCAAGAAAGTAGTCTGCCAAGAAATGAGCTGGTTTGATGATCCTGCAAATTCAAGGTATTTTAATACCGCCTCCGCTTTACAATCAACTTTAAACTTTCCTTTTTGCCTGGCTCAAAATATTTTTTACACTTCACCCTTTTCTTTTTAAGGGAATATTATGTGGCCTACATTGTTTCTCTCTCTAAACAAATTTCAAACATCCATTTTCACTTTTCAAACTCCTTGACGTCAAACTGTCAAGCTTATTCTGAAACGGAGGGAGTAATTTTAATGCATGTTAGATATCCAATGATGGTGATGATTGTTTAGAATTTTATTATCTCGTTATGAATAACCGGTAATGGTGATGATTGTTTAATAACCCATGATGGCGATGATGGGTTGTTGTATTAATTTTTATGAAACTGTGCCACACTGCAACTATGCCTTTTTTTGCATGAATATATATTGGTGATTAATTTCCTACAATTAATTGTCACTATAAATCTAATGCCGCTTTCCTCTCAGTTGGGACTAAGATGCTCATAATGATGACAACAACATGCGCTAAGTGCAATTCTTGCAGTTATTTTAGTAAATCATATACTGATGCTGTTTTCCTCTCTCAGTGGTACAATTGGGGCAAGATTATCGATCAATGCTTCCACTGTTAGGAGCATAGTGGGAGATGCTTTGGCACTCTTTGTCCAGAACATAGCAGCAGTTTTTGCAGCCCTCATAATTGCCTTTGCAGCTAATTGGATTTTGGCTATAATAGTCCTCCTTGTATTACCATTTATTGGGTTTCAAGGCTTTATACAGATGAAATTCATCCAAGGCTTTGGCAAAGATGCAAAAGTAATCCATCTACTCTCTAACACCCACTAGAGCACCAAGTCTTGTGATATTATTTGTGTTGAGAATCTTACATTGGGATAAATTGGTTTATAAGAGCTTGGGTCAGACTAGCTATTCAGTTGGATTGCATTATCAGCTACTATCTATATCAGTAAAGATTTTATAAAAAAAAATATTGCTTTTGCAGGTGATGTATGAAGAAGCGAGTGCAGTTGCGAATGATGCGGTTGGGGGTATAAGGACAGTGGCATCTTTTTGTGCAGAAGAGAAAGTTATGGCCGTGTTTAAAAGAAAGTGTGAAGGCCCCTTGAAGCAAGGGATTAAGGTAGGAATAGTAAGCGGGTTGAGTTTAGGCATCAGCTCAGTAGTTCTCTTTCTTGCAACTGCGTTTTGTTTCTTCATAGGTGCCATTCTTGTTCAACACGACAAAGCAAGCTTCGCACAAGTCTTTAAGGTCAGAAACATGGTTGGTTGTTGTATTACTCCATGGAAGTAACACTATCCAACATAGATTCGACATTTTTTGTTTATTTGGCAGGTTTTCTTTACATTGACCGCGACAGCAAATGCAGTTTCTCAGGCTTCTGTCACCGCACCAGACCTTAACAAGGTTAAGGATTCTGCGGCGTCTATATTTGACATTCTTGACAGGAAACCAAAGATCGATAGCAGTAGTGAAGATGGTAGGTCTTTGACAACCATCCGGGGAGATATAGAGTTGCAAAATATCACTTTCAGATATCCCACTCGCCCGGATACCCTGATATTCAAGGACTTGTGCCTCACCATGCCTGCTGGAAAGGTATTCCCATTCAAAAATCTATGTTTGGTAACCAAAAGTGGCTTATTCTACTTAAGCATATGTGGCTTCTGACTTAGTTTTGCTTTCATTGTTTGAAAGACATGTGCTCTTGTGGGAGAAAGTGGGAGTGGGAAATCAACAGTGATTGGTCTGATAGAGAGATTCTATGACCCTGATTCTGGACAAGTGTTGTTAGATGGGTTTCCAATCAAGAACCTGAAGCTAAGTTGGCTAAGGCAACAAATGGGACTAGTGAGCCAGGAGCCAATACTCTTCAACGAAACAATCCGGGACAACATAGCCTACGGCAAACAAGGGAACATTACAGAGGAAGAGATCATTGAGGCAGCCAAATCATCAAACGCGCACAACTTCATCTCATCATTGCCACAAGGCTATGGGACATCAGTGGGGGAGAGAGGGATACAACTATCCGGCGGTCAAAAGCAACGAATAGCCATTGCCAGGGCCATACTGAAAAACCCTAAAGTTCTCATGCTAGACGAGGCTACAAGCGCACTAGACACCGAGTCAGAGCGGGTCGTGCAAGAGGCATTAGACCGGGTTATGGTGAACCGGACCACCATCATCGTGGCTCATCGCCTCACCACAATTGCAGGTGCTGACCTGATCGCAGTGGTCAAGGATGGAGCGATTGCAGAGCAAGGAAGGCACGATGCACTTTCGAATATCAAGGATGGAGTTTATGCTTCCTTAGTCGCACTCCACGCATAATAACAATGCTAAGCTTAGATAGATAACATGTATTTGGCATGCCACACCCCCCCCCCCCCAAAAGTACGTCCCTCCCAAAGTAACATGTTTACCAAGGGCAAATTTCATTTATAAAATTATATAGTCATGTCATCTTTTATTTTGTAGAACATTCGATGTACTTCATAGTTTTTAATTTATAAATTTTATTTTCTAATTCCACCTCAATTCTTATATAAATGGTATGCAAAAAATTCAATAAAAAATCATAAATTGAAACAGACAATTTAAATTAAAAAAATGAGAACTAACACTTTGTGTATTATGTGTAAACATTGAGATGAAAATGTGAAGCAAGGGAAAGATCAAAATACTAACACAAGGCATCTGCCATTAAGCTTATATTGCAAAAAAAATCAATATACAAATTTTTCTAACCCTAATGACAGCACATTTTGGCCCCATCTCATCATTAGCCATTGTTGAGCAAGCAATATCCACAGCAATATTCAACTTCCCCAAGGGAACATAACATTATAACCGCTTGCATACTCTTTCCCCCCCTCAATAATTATAATAACAACGATACAACATATAGACAGATGACGAAAAAGAGAGACCATGATGGGGATGTGTAGTTTTAGGTGAGAATCTCCCCCTCTTCACCATCTTCATTCAAAACTGCTTCATCTTCTTCATTCAGAACTGCTTCATCTTCTTGCAGAATTTCATCCTTTATGTACAATCCAAGCCTTTCTAGCGTGTTTCTCGATAAAGAAAGATTCACTCCACCCCCATTGCCAAGCAGACCATCACAGGGTGGACATTGACATAGCCCCTCAAGATCTTTGAGTATCTTCAAATTATCGTCAAGATCAACCGTCCTTTCCATCTGCTCAAAATAACATTGTGGAATGAAAATCAGAATTACACATACTTGCTTTTGCTTCCAAACATTTCACTCTTTTTCCACCATTGTAATGGGAAAACCAGGGATTGAACAATAGGTACGATTTTTTTTTGGGGGGGAGGATGGTTGAATCAAGCATACCTTCTCCAACGCAATCCTGGCCGCTTCCCTTTCTTTCTCCCTTTGAATTTTCAACTCCACCTCTGCTTTCATTCGTGTAGATGCTTCAGCAGCTTTAATTTGTTCTTCAATCCTGGCTTTCTCTGCAATTCATGATATTTCAGTCAGATCGAGAAAAAAAGATCCAAAAATAAAATTTGGAGGTACTGGAGTGTTTCGTAAGTGGTTAAGGGAGTTTTAGGAAGGAGGGGGGGGGGGGAAGTGGAGGAACAATGATTTTATTAGTTTCCTTTTTAACCTCTTCTCATTATAATTGTTCTACATATTATTGTTATACATACACATAGATCACTACGCTTATAATGGCACCAAAAGTTACCATTTTTTTGATACACCCATATTATATCTTTACAGAGAATATCATTCAAAAAGAATGACCCCCTTCCTGGGAAAAAGATTCTCCATTAAACAAAAAAACATTTTTAAGTCCTTATTCCCTAACTCGTTTGAACCAACAAAGAGTGATCACGAGTGAATAAAAAAAGGCATGCACAAGAATCAAAAGTCTACATTATGAACTATGTAATCTTAGTGTATAAAATGAACCTAAACAACGCCTTCCCCATAAAGGTGGTATCTGTACAAACAACAAAAAATCCAATAAAATTCCACAAAAAGTAGGGTTTGGGTGCATCAACCTTGTCCCTCCGCTTGTTTCCAAGAGACACCACCACCACTACCCCCCCCCCCCAAAAAAAACCTTAAGCAGAAGTGTATCTGTACAACAAGTAAAAATAACTCTTTGCTAAATCCAAAAGGTTGAAAACAGTGTGAACACAATCGTTGTATACCTGCAAGCTGCTGCTTTTGCAGGCGCTCTTTTTCTTGCTGCAGCTTCAACGGATCAACCACATCATCCTAAACATCAAAACAAAAAAAACAAAAATCATGCTATGTCCTTCCTATGATCAAATAATGCATAATACCACAGGAAAAAAAATTCCCTAGACGAGGCATGAGGAGAACCTTGTGATTTGCTTTGAAAATCATTTCAGCAAACCGGCTCCTAAGCATGGCAGCACGTAAGGCCTTTGCTGGTGAAAGCTGAGCATCACCAAATGAAGTGCAACCTATTAACAAGCATTTCAAAATGTGTTATCAAGTAGGAAGGTGCAGATTAAACTCTACATGTAGACTCTACAGTATCGAACTACGGAGTACAAAACAAACCCTAAAGATTATATGAATTACATATAGACCTTCATGACTTTTTCTATTGTGATCATATATCATCAAGTAAGTAACATGTCTGAGCTTTTTAAAAAAGAATAGTTGAGACAAGAACAATGTAGTCCGTAAGCAGTCAATTCCTCTGGATATCATAGTGTTCTACTCTATTTGTCCCAAAATGTTGAGTCTTTATGAAAATCTCTGCCAAATTAATTTCTCTTTAAGTAGAGTAAAAATTGTAAAATTTACATTAAACTACTATCCATCATATATAAAGCATCATAGTAAAATTTGTAAAATTTACATCATAAATATAACAATATTAATCATCAAATTTGACTTTTATTATTTAGGAGAAATTAATAGTCAAAAACTCAAAATTTAACACAAATTCCCAAAATAACCCACATCTTGGATGAAAGGGAGTATCACCTATCCATGTCATTTATGAAAAAATTGACTTGTCAAGTGGTTTATTGGTCATTTAATCCAACCCTAGGGATTGTTTTTTAATTTAACCAAAGTATACCAAAAAAAGACAATTGTTACCAGTAGTGGTAGCTGTGGCACATGATGAATGGTCGGAGCTAGGACTTTCAATTTCCTTTTGCCCACCAACCCCTTGTGCACAGCATTTATGCAGACTACTACCACAAGATTCATGCTTGGAATCAACAGAGTTCACAGGAGGCTCAATATCTGCAGGGCCAATAAAGTTCAACCGATCAAGAAATTTTGATTTTTGGATTAACTACTGAAAGAAAACTATGAAGTACACAGAAATATCTCAATGACATCAATCAATCGTGCCTTTTTGGCTAGTTTTCCCAGAAAGGACATGTGTCACTTCTGCAGATTCAGCCTGCATACCAAAACATCAATGACAAGGCTGTGAACCCTCATATTTTCATCAGGATATTTTTTTTTACCAAAAAGTGAATTATCATAACATGGAGAAACAAAAAAGACACATTATCATACATTAAAAAATCCAAGAAACCAAGTGGGACTGTCACGTGGCACAATCATTAGGTAAAAAAGTTTACCTTTCCAGCCCTGGCATCCAATGCTGTGTTCAACGCCCTCTTTAACTCCCATAAGGTTTCATCGTCCAATGTTTCTATGTCAACCTTCAGATTTTCTTTTCCCCTCATAGCCACCCCAAACTTTTGAAGGATGCTCTGCATAGTATCAATGACCTTTCCCCTTAGTAACTCAGTAAGCTCCTCCTTCAACTTTTGTTTGTCCTCCATCCGCACCAACTTCTTTGTTTTTATCAAATTGGCATGCAAAGGGTCTTTCCTATGGCATGATATATTTGAGTCTTGAAAATCTTTTTCATTAGGGTTCAATAGGCTATTTGTTTCTGCACTTCCACTCTTGCGTTTCAACTTTGTCTCCACCAATTTCCATTTTCTAGTGAAAATCCCATCCAACTCCTTTGCCATTACATGAAATGCATTAACTGGAGGGTTATATCTCATGCAATTAGCAAATGTCAGCCTCACATCAGCAGCAAACTCCTCTGCAGTGAAGTATGCGTTGTCTTTTAACTTTGATTTGATTGTGCCAAGATCCATCGGTTTAGTGATAATATCAAAATAATCGGGAATGTTGAAAGCAACAGGATCTACAGGATGCAGGAAAGGCCATCCCTCTTTGTGAGACATTAGCACTTCAAGAATGCTTCCACACTGCTGTTTTATACTCCGGTCCATTTTCCGCCTCTTCACTTTTTCGGCACCAAGTGCTACTTGAGGTCCTCTCTTATAAGAGTTGGCTGGTACAGGTAGTTTGAGCTTTATACTCATCGCAGGCTTGTTTTTCTCATTCAAAAAATTGTGTCGATCTTGTGCATCATCTGTGATTATCTTCCCCTCATTTTCATGAGCATCTCTTTCACAGTGAGTTCCAACTGTTTTGGTGCCAATCTTGATTTTCAGCCTCTTCACCACAGTTTCAGTCACCACCATTGTTGGGGAATTAAAGCTAAAAACCCCTTTAATTTCCTGACTGATACTTAGCACCATAAATCTGGAAAGACATCTAATGATTATATCGCACTGCTGCATAATCATTTGTTGCAAAATATAAAATTTAATTTTAATATAAAAAAATCAAACCAAATTTACCAGACCGCTAGGTCTTGGCATTAAAAAACAAAAACACAGGGAGAAAATATCAATATCAACCAACAAGAATTAATTAAAATCTAATCAAACTTTACAGGCCAGACACTAAAAAATAGGATATAATTTTCGAAGAAAATATCATAAAATACTCAAGCCACAGAAAAACCTAGGACATCCAGAACATCAAAAAAGAGAAATAGATGAGTAAAATTAAGAAAACACGAGAAGCAAAGTACAAATTAAAGAGAACTCCGTAATTCAGAAGACAAATCAAATGGCAAAACGAAAGATGAAGAATTTCAGAGCGTAAAAGACGATTTCATACATTCTGATCGACGGCCGATCGAAAAAAAACCCTAGGACTCGCCGAAATCAAAATACCACAAAATTAGAAGAAAAAAAAACCCAAATCACATTTACAAATCTAGGAAAGCCCACATCCCAAACCGCATCGAAGAACACGAAGATGGATAAGATTATACTCACGCGCAAGAAGCACAATCAGGCCGAGACCCAGACCCAAATCACCGAACATCGCAAAACGCGGGAGCCATGGACGCGAGGGGCTAGAGCGCCCGACCCCTTTGGCCTCTGAAGCGGCGGTAGAAGACGCACAGAGAGAGCGAGAGAGAGAGAGAGAGAACAGAGAGTGAGGTTTTTAGGGTTTCTTGATTTCGCTCNTTCCCGTGACGCGTTGCGGTCTCCTGGGCAGCCGACTTATTTTTGGCATGACATGTTTACCCCCTTGGTTGGTTTGGGTTTTCGGCAATTTGAGGGGCGATTCCGGAGTTTCCACGTAGGAAAAGAGAACCAATAATTTTGATGGTACAAGTGTACAACACTACTTCTCTTCAGACCCGATCACATGTTTGGGTATCTGATCAGTTCACAAAAGTCACTCTGTGAAATAATAGGTTTGAATCATAGTTTTAAGAATCGAATCCTTAGCAGAATCAGTTGAGATACTCGTTTACTCCGTGAATCAGTGATTCAAATATATACCGTACTATCTCCGTTTCTCAAAAAAGTTCCTCTTTTGACTTTGGGGGAAAATAAGAAAGTGTTAAATTGTAGTTACCTTTCCAATTTTGCCCTTGATGTGATGGGTAAAAGTAAGATGTGATAGTTTAGTTGTTAGTGAAAAAGTATGATGTGATAGGTAGGGTATGAAAGAAAAAGTAGGGGTAAAAGTGGTTTTTTAATGGAAAGGGGAAGTGTTTTAAGAAAAACAAAAAAATGAAAGAGGAAGGGTTTTAAGAAACGGAGGGAGTATATAATTACTATTTTGTACAAACAAAAATAGCTCCTTTCGTCTCTACATAACATTCCATGATGTTTGATTTAAATTATAATTATTTTAATTTATTTTATTAGTCAATTTATATTTAAAATAAAATTTAAATATCGAGAGGTACATTAAAAGTTTTATAAAATAAAAATGTTTTTACTTTTATTTATATGTTTTGTTGAATATCTAAAAATATTCAAATGAAATTTTTTGGGAACATATACTCCATATTAGATTTAATTGTGTTTTTAAATATAAGGAATCCTAGTTAAAGAAATAAAGAAATCTTCTTATACATATTTATTCTTTTAATTACACAATATATATACAAGAATAATAAGTATGTAACAGAAAACATTCTAGCTCGAAACTTAGATATGGATAATTTATTACTAATTTTTGCAACAAAAAAACTAGGTTGACTGAATGAACCGGCTGGTTCTTAACGATTCATACCAGTTCAAACTGCTTCAATGCATATAGCGGTCCACTGGGCCAGACCGAACCAGTTTGACCTCTGGTTCGCCAGAGTATTTGTCCACTTTTGAATTTTTTTTCAATTAAAATTGGTAAACTTTGACCCGAAATTAAATAAAAATGATATTAGATGTTGATACAAACTTTTTTTATTAGATTTATTATATATATATTTTCAAAATATTATTTTATCTAATTAATATACAATATATATTTTACTTAATTATAAGTCAAAGGTTGAAAAAGGATTGACTGAAAAAAGTTAAAACTGGACAAATACTATGAGACGGAGGTAGTGTTAACTATTAAGTTATGGATTGAGTTCGAGTTTGATAAATGGAGGCCGCATAATTGAGAGTCGGGCTTGTTCTTTATGTTCATGTAACACCCTAATCCGTCCAGGTCTGCAGCCCCTTTCGAACTAAAGTATTAACTTGGTAATCGTAAGAATTTAAAACATTTTAAACACTTTTATTTATCAAAATAATATTTTCCATAACAAAAACAGTACGGAGTTTTCAATATCGCGGAAGCTTAACAAATCATAATTACAAACATAATTTATTTATGTACTTCAATTCAAAACCATCACATCCATTACGACAATCTCGCCTCCGTTTGTCTCCAGGATCGCGTCACATCATTCTTTCTATTAACGTGCGTGTAGAAAATAAAACATACTACACGCTCAGCATTTAAGCTGAGTAAACATATCTAATGTGTCGAACATCCATATAAATTAAATCTCAATTCATAATCAAATCAATTGATATCATGCACATAATATTCAGTTCAGATATTCAATGATCAATATTCAGTATTCTTCATTCAACATTCATACTCATGTTTTATATTCAACATTCAACAATCAACAATATTCTTAAACTATGCTTAGTCTAATGTCATTCTGTTTAATGTTTACCAACTCTTAAACTAATTATAGTTTAAGGTACTTCTATCCAACTCTTAAACTAATCCTAGTTTAAGGTACTTCTAACCAACTCTTAAGCTAGGTCATTAGTTTAAGGTACATATTTTCCGACCGATTTACCAACTCTTAAACTAGTCTTCGCTTAAGGTACAATCCAGAAAACCGAACAGCAGAATACTAACTGTCGGGTTGGGTGGTATCCCCAAACGAGTGCCTCTATTTGGTTTGTGGATTCCGTATTTACGTTTTTACCCAAGGCCACCGAATATACATGTTTATACCCGCAAAACCCATTCTAACTTTAAGTCTATCTTAGAGGTCTTCTAGATAGCCTTAACAATACAACTCATTTTTCATCAATCCATTTATTTTGATTCTAGTTCAATACTTAATAATCGTCATTTCATTCAGAATAATCATCATCATTAATCCATAATAATCATGCATCATAATCATCAATCAACATAACATTCAAAGCAGTAGCAATTAACCATCTAGCTTCGAGTGTTTACACCCTGGCTTACCGTCATGCATCACGTAAGGTATTTTTAATTGTCAAAACATTATTTTTATTCCAAGAAATCATCTGTATATTGATCATAATTGGTTGGTATCAAAATAGGATTTTATAGCTCAAAAATAGCATTTTCGGATAAATTTTCGGATTAGATTTTCGGGGGATCAATCCAGCCCTTTGGATCGATCCAAACTAGAAGAAACACTCCCATATGATCGATTCAGGTAGTGTGTTTTGGGTCACTGTTCATCTACTTCAACCTTCGGTCCATTTTTCGGAAATACCATTTTCAGTTACCGAACTCCAACGAAACTATATAGAGATGTTCTCCAAGGTTCATAGATCATTTTGGAATCATGAATTCATAGTTTTAACATCAATTTCATGGTTTTTATTATTTTTTCTTCAAGTATGTCAAACACAAAAGTCAACCAAACGACCGTTTATGAACGTAGAAACGATCTATACGAACATTCTAGTCACTAGATATATTTACGGGCTTACCTCGAAGCTTAGTGAAGGTTTTGGAAATTTTCTAGCGAAACTTCCGGCGACGATAACTCCCCACTCCGGCGACCTCTCACTAATATGACAGCACCAATGCACTCCTCACACTCTCAAGAACAAAATAATAATAAGCTTGTTGAGTTTTGGTAAAGAATGAAGAGAGTGATGGTTGTTTATATAGGAGAATAAATGGAGAAGAATCCAATGTTGGTGATGTAGGTGTTCCTGTTTCGGCGTCTCAGTGGGAAGGGCTGCGATGTTCACGATTCCAAACGCAAGTGCCTGATTGGGACAAATTTTGGTTCTAGTCGGGGTATAATTTTTAGTCCAACTTTCTCCGAATTGAAATTCATTTGCACCGTTGCGATCAGACAATTAAGCTCTATCTGACGATATAATTTTCATATATATATTTGTAATACTTTTTCTGACATCATATTTTGGGTGTTTGACTTTGACAGAGTCAAAATTGGTTTAATTAACCTTTATCATAAAAGGTTCTCAATTTAATTTATTCTCATGGTTTTTTCAAGATTTCATTTCAAAGTTCACTTAATAAACAAATTTTCCATTTATTCTTAATTTGGGTCTGTACTCAGGTTCCCATTCAAGATCACACAATAAGTCAGCATGTTGGATTTATCTCTATGAGATTTATTCCAATTATGTTTATTCGATATCAATACATATTTTATTTTGGCCTAAAGCCCAACAATAATTTATTTTAATCAAAACAAATTTGATTAATTGAATATTTATTCATTAATAATTTTAGGGTATGTTTTGGGGTGTTACAGTTCAAGTCTACGTCCCAACCGAATGAAAAATAACAATACGGAGTACTAATTATTATTATTGTTATTATTCTAATTATAATAAAATTATAATAACAACACTATAATAATAATAATAGTAGTAGTAGTAGTAGTAGTAGTAATAATAATAATAACAACAACAATGTTATTTGTTATATACACACATACATTTATAGAGAAAGAAGAGATCTATAAATGAATATAATTTAAGCAAATGAATACATTATTATTATTACTTATGGTACATTGATAATAACATTTATATAAATAAACGTAATATTATCAAACAAAAACTAATTTGTTTATATGTTAGTTGATCCTTTGATAGGATACTAATCATAGCAATTATATCTAATATATTAAGACATTATTTTGTTTAAAAATCACTTTTTAATTATGTAGAAAATATTACACATGCAGCTAGACAGGCCCGTGCTTCAATTATTAGGCTCGTTATATGGGCTGAGCCAAATTCGGGCATCGGAAATATTAGATAAGGAGTGCAACTCTAAAGGAGGTGAATAGAGTTCTTAAGAATGTTTACCGTCTTTCGTAGGCTGTGTGTGTAAATAAAAAATAATGAATGTGCAGCAGAAGTAAAAGAGTTGAAAACACCGTGACTCACCCCACTGCGACCTCCTCGGTTTTGGACCTGAGGTCGATCACCCCACCATTCGAGATAACCTACAAGTTGAAAATATCTAGTTATCTCATGTCCAGTTATTCCGCAGTGTTTACACTTCAGTTCCCTGTTAGCATCTCGATGAGTAACAACTAAACTCACCAGATTTTTTCTCATCATCTTGAATAATTTTTAAAACCCCTTCTTGTTGAATAATCGTGGAATAAACACGATTAAAAGGTGCCAAAGGCTCCATGTGCAAGATGTTTCTCTCAAGCCTCCATATCCTTCATTATCTACCCTCTCAGAAATTGGCGAACCTTTTCATTTTCCTTTTGCTGCTTAATTATTTTGGTGATCCCACACTTACAACCATGACACTTACACACCGGTGTCTTCTCAATGTTATTCAGTTCATCCCATATACTTTTCAATCTAGAAAAATATGAGACACCTGATTGACCGTTCTGTTTGCAGTCTGCCAATTCCTTTTTCAGCTGGTTTACTCGTGGTCCATTCGCAATGGAGAATCGATCTTTGATGTCCTTCAATAATTCGACCCCCTCCTTTACTTGCGTTATGGAGTTTCGTAGGGAGACGTAAATCGTGTTGAAAATACAAAACACAAGCATGGTGTTCACAATGCACCATGCTTCATCTTTTTCTTTGTCTATTTCTGGTTAGGGTATAGATCCAACAATGAATCTAAATTTTCTTTTAGCACGGAGGGCAATTCAAACAGCTGGTTTTCATTCTTCATAATTACCACTAGTCAATTTGATCTAAGTGATAACTAGTGTAGGTGTGTCTACAAATTTCAATTTATAAGGACTCGCCTTGGTGAATTGTTTATTGTTGATATCCAAACCACCGCTGGAGGCGGCTACTTTAGAGAACGGATTGTCTTCTCGTTTTTCGGTCATCTCCAAAGATGGCGACTAGTTTTCGTCGGTAATGAGATATAAAAAAAAGTCTTAGAATTTTAGCTCCGACACCATGTTAAAATATAATATCGAGAAAGATATCTGTATTTTTATGGTTTTGTTCATTAAAAGAGAAAAAGTCCTCTTAATATAAGAAGAGAGAAAGACAAAAAGGTAAACTTATATTTATACCAAAACACTAAAACTTCTACTCCCTCCGTCTCAATTTTGATTACAAATTTAGAATTATGGAGTAAATTCCCACAATTTTTGAAATTATTTTATTTACAAATTGGTATGTCAATAGAAAATAAAAATTAGATATTAAAAAACTACATCAAAAATTCTACAAAACAAGAGGTGACAAGAGTATTAAAAAACTACATCAAATAAACAAAAATTATCAAGAGGAAGGAGAAAATAAATTAAATTGTAATCAAAATTGAACTGGAGGGAGTATAACCAAAAATAAATAGATTAAATAAAGTACTTCCCCCGTCCCTAAAAAATGTCATATTTACTTTTTTAAAAGTCGCGAGAACTTTTGTTTATTTGTATGTTTTCATTAATTATTTGATAAAATAAAATATTCTTGATACCTCTTATTTCAAAGAACTTTTCATGAAGTGTTTAAATATGTAAATTTTATTTCTCATTTTTATACCAATATTTAAATAAAATAAATTTAAAAAATTAATATTTTACCTCAGTTTTAGAAATCTGGCAAACTTGGAGGAAGTAAATAAATCACAATCCAAAGAGGATTTGGTTTCCTCCTTTTCGTGTATGTCTCGCCAACGGATATGAATTGACATTTTGGACTGGTTTGGGAATAACGTTAGCCATTAGAGCGTTTTTAGACCTGTTTAGGAATAGCGTTAGAGATTAGCATTAGCGTTTTGGATAAAATTTTAACGGTGTAGATTACTTTGAAAACGCTAACGCTAAACGCTGCCCGTAGATAGCCTTTTCAAAACGCTAACGCTAATCGCTAACGCTATTCCCAAACAGGCCCTTCAAAGTAATCTGCACCGTTAAAATTTTATTCAAAACGCTAACGCTAATCTTTAACGTTATTTTCAAACATGCCCTTTAGCAATTTGAGGGGATGTAGATCACGTGTTAAGACTCACCATCCATCCTAAAACTTTATTTCTATATATATCCTTGAGTTTTGCAGTTTTGAATGAATATATTTTACTCGGTAATATATTAATGTTAAAAAACTAAAATTATGAATTTAAAAATTATATAAAATATTTTAAAATACGAGATGATATAATTATATATTTTTATCAAATGATAAATAAAAAAAGAAAAAAAGTAAATAAAATCTGATCATATAAATATTAAGTAGGAAAATGGTTTTATGAGAAGTGTGAAGTTTAGGATTGGGTGGTGATAGACTCATAGTCACACCCCACCAAAAGACTAATCTTACCACATACTAATTTCACTCCACTTTATTCTTATTTAGTCTTAATCCCGTGAGAAATTTATTTTGGCAAAGGACGTATTTCTTTATTGTGTACAAAATAACTTTTGGAAAACTAAACACTATCATTAAGTAATGTTTTGAAAACGCTAAACTTAAATGCTCGAGTTGATGCCAACCAAGCACAGGGTGCCAAATATTCTATTTTATCAAATATTTAATCAAAACGTATTAATAAACAAAAGTTTTTGTGACTTTGTGAAGAGTGTAATTCTTTTTTAGACAAATGGAGTAACAAGCTACATGACGACACCCTTACCAAAATAAAATATAAATAAGCATGGAAACCCAAGTGCCACATTAAAGTGGCAAAGTCATTTTTTCAAATACTCTTCATCCTCTTCTTAAAGAGAGAAAAAAAGCCCCAAGAGGATTATCAATCATCATTTGACAACATAATAACACAATGGATACAATTAATATACAAACACAAAACCAATCTCTTGTCCAATACACTGCAGCCAACAACAAAAATTGACCTAAGCATTCAGCTCTTAGCCTCTTAATACCCATGGTTCACAATTATATACCAAAGAGGTATATATATAATCGACCCGAGCTTTATTTTCATCACTAAGGCAGACCCTTCGACGGGTTCTGCAAAGAATATGAGAAATCCTCTGGGGGTGAACATGGCATTCCGAGGAACAAAACCAGGCTCTTGATTGCCAAATGCCAACGGAGTGATTTTTTTTCATGCACAAGCCTCTATCAGGTGTCTTCTTCTTGATGATTCTTCCTCGGAGTTCTCGCTGTAGTAGAAGTACAACCCCAATTGTAGGACCCCGAGAACTAGTCCAATCCCATTTGGGACCTGATCACGCCACCCCAAAATACACATTCTTTAAGAAAGCAATTTTAAAAAAACGCTCATCTTAGCGTTGACCCAGTAGAATCGCACAAAAAGTAGGATATGAAGAGGATGTGTGTACGCACGCTAGACCTTATCCTTGCTACTAGGTAGTGGAGACGTAAAATACAAACCAAACATATAAGACTTCCGATAACTCCTACGAGGGCACGAGGGCATCAAGTTTTAATGGGCATTAGGGCATTCCTTCATGTGAGAGGACACCCAATGAATATGGGTTGATTAGGGGTAACATCTGCATACACACACTTCTAGGCCCTGTTTTTTTGTGTGATTTTACTAGGTTTGTTGTACCACATAATCTTTTACTAGGAAGTAAAGAGAAGATCATTTTGGAACGAACGAAAAAGCAGTAATACTTACAGAAATGAATATATCACACTCGAACAGCCCATATACAAAGAAGGAAAGGCTCATCAGAAACGTAGCAAGTGAGAGATAAAACGGCATGTATTCAACACTCTTCGTCTTGATCACCAAATTCTGCAAAGCAAAATAAATAAATAAACAAATAAAATAAAGATATCAACACAAAATAGGCCTAAAGAGAGGATAGAATCTACATAAAACACGGTGTTAAGGATCCAATTCAACCAAAAGTTAAACTTGTATTGTCGGCACATGAGATGTTTTTATACTCTAACAGGCACCACACGTGCAGGCAGGATTATTTTCTAGTTCTAGATCAGCAAGACTTTGATATCATGTTAAGGAACCAACTCAACCAAAAGCCTCAGGCTTGTAGTTGTAAGTCTGGAAAAGGTCTTATGCTCTAATAAACGCTTGTGTTGCTATGGGCTAACTTACAATGACAAATAGTGGAGCAGCAAACATGGAGATAAGAGAAAGGACAGACAAATATCCAACGAAAATCTGTCGCTCCGGAGGCTCAAATGCACACAAGCTGGTAGAAGCTATAGCTCCAAACAAACCAAAAATGCCTAGCAACAATCCCAACATTTTTAACTGCAAGAAACAGTTGGTGTTTTTTAAGTCATACATCATTTTACACACCATTAAGGGTCCGTTTGGAACTGAGAAAATGCTAGGGGAAATAACTACCCTCTACCATTTCACATAGCATTTTGTGGGATCCAAACATACCCTAAAGATGCACCAAAATAAGAAGCAAGACTAACCTTTTTCTTTTGCTCTGCATATACAATGAAGATAGTGATATATACTAACTGGAAAATGGCTCCAATGAAGTTGACAGAGAAAACCAATATGATGCCGGGAGAAACGATTGGCGTGCCATACCAAAGACATATTAAGCAATTCAAGAGAGCATACATATAAGGTGATCCAGAAAACTGCTCTGTTGATTGGCTTCTGATTATTCTCTTGAACGTTGGTCTGAAATGAGGAAAGATTAAGTCAGAGGTTAGGTTTACTTCACACTTATATACTGAACTCATCAGACAAACCCTAGTCTTTGAGGGTGTTTCGGGTTGCGTTTGAAAAATGTTTTTGAACTTTTGGTTTTTCAAAATGTAGTTTAACATGTTTGGCAATCAACTTGTTTTTATAGTAGTTTATAGCTTGCTTCAGGAGTGTAAAATATGCTCCAAAAGTACTTTTAGCAAAGCTAAGAATAAGTACTTTGTGCTACTACTTATGATTTTTGCCTTTTCAAGAATCTACCACAAACTCAAACACCCTCTAAGGGTATATAAATGGGGTCAAACTGGTCCCAAAGNGGGGGGCATTCTTACAAACCACCGCTGGACCAAGTTCTAGCACCATGTTAAATTGGCTCTATCTCACCATAAGTGGATCTTCAAGATGTGAAGTTTATCTCACACTTACACTCAAAATCAATAAACAACCCATGCAAAATACTCAACATCAACTACACACAAATACGATTAAAGCTTCGTTTGGGAACAATGTCTGTGATTAAAGTTAGGGTCTTGGATAACCGTAAACGCTAATGCTAAAAGATACTGTAGGATGGCATTTTCAAAATCTTGAAGCTAAACGCTAAAGCTAATGTCAAATAGAGAACAACAACCTAGCTTCTATTTCAGGGTTATAGAGTACTTACATGGGTGAGACAAACAACACAAATGCACAGACATTCCCTGCATTTGACAAATGCAAAATGTATAAGCACTTTATAATGCTCCCTCTGCCTCATATTCACCTCCTAATTTGAAATTCATAGAGATTGTTATTTGTTTAGAAAAGAGAGATACAATACCAACACACATAAATATATTCCTCCTAAGAAAAAAAATACTAGTATTGTGTTGAAGTATCAAAAGTTAGAGAAAAATTAAAATGAGATGATAAGCGTCCATTGGAATTAGATAATGAATGCCAAAGACCTTGTGGTCCAAAGGCGGCGCTCTTAACTGGGAGATTGGGAGGTCACGTGTTCGAACTCCTATGGAGGAGTAACTATATGTACTTCAATATGTTGAGAATGTATGATCAGATGTTATACATTGTAATAGAGTTATTAGTGTTAAAAAAAGAATTAGATAATGAACTAAATTCAATTGACATACTCAAACTATTTTCAATTAAATTTATATGAAAATTATGTAGAATTTTAAAATAAATTTATATATCTAAAAACTACATCAAATGTTCTATTCCGTGTAAGACATGCAGTGACATGATTATTTAATTTTATCAAACAATTGTAAGATCCTCATTTAATCTGGGAAGGAGTATTAAAAAAAGGACAACGAGGGGTACCAACACTCATCTACTAAGGCTTTGTTTGGATGGGGCAGGGGAGATATTCACCCTCTCCCTCCACCAAAACATTTTCCATGAGTGAAAAGTGTAAACAACAAGAAAAATGTTGTTTCACAAACAAATGGTCACAAACTTCACAAACTTTCCATTTCGGGCTTAAATTCTCATTTTAAATGTATTTTAGACTACTTCATTTTTTTAATTAAAGTTGTGAAATTTGTAAAAATTTTGTTTGTGAATCTAGCCTTTCTCAATGTTAAAAGGTGAGAAATGCATTGGGATATGGGAATATCCACTTCAAGAATCTGCTAAAACTTAAAAGGCCCAAAAGTTTAATGAAATAAATAAATAAATAAATAAATCTACCCCGAGATTAGCTTTGAAAAAAAATTCCTTCTTTTTAAAATTTCCTATCAACAAATCACACAAAAATGAACCCATTTTTTTTTTAAAAATTTATCCATCAGATTGGTGTAAATATGAAATGAAAGAATTGAAGTCATAGTCTGGGGAAATTCATAAATTTAGAGAGGGGTAAAACCGGGAAATTGATGAATTTACCTGCAACTCCTGCTGCAGCACTGCAAATTGAATAAGCTCCTCCTGGAGACAACAATAATAATGATAATAATAAACTACTCATCCCTCAAACTAATCTAAAATCTCTAAAAATCTCTTGTTCTTCTTCTTCTTCTTCTTCTTCCTCTCTTTCTCTCTCTGTCTCTCCCAAAGTCTATATATCTATGGGTTCTATCTATGTTTTTGGTGGCATGTAATGAAATGGAGAAAGATGGGCGTGCAGGATTATATGTACTGTAGACAGTACTCCGTATATGTATTGGCCATACACACATCAATGTCTCCCCAAGGTGGGCCTCACTTTCTCCCGTGCTTGAAACGGGCCTTTGGCGCACATGCTAGTTGACCATAAATAAAAGACTTAGGGGCGGTTTGTTTCAGCCTTTTAATGGTTCAAGTGTCTGAATGGTTCAGCACTTAATGGTTTAGATTGTTTGTTTCAGCCTCTTAATGGTTCAGATGTCTGAATGGTTAAGAGATTTGCCTCTGAATGATTAAGTATTATACAGAGTCTGAATGGTTAAGACCTTTTATTTGAATTGATCAGACATTTGCCTCTGAATAGTTAAGCAATATATTAGTTCTTAATGGTTCAGACCTCTTACTGGTTCAGCATTTACCGATTCAGAAGTTGCCAAACAGCCCCTTAGCAAATCTCCGAAGAATCAGGGGCCCTGGTTGACATAGAAAAAGTGAGTTAATGTGTAATAACAAACTAATAAAATTTTAAATTCCTAGTCTTATAAATTTCTAAATACATTCTTTAATAGCTAATCGAAGATTTGTAATTTTTTAGTTCTAAGTATACTGCCCCTAATACAAAAATAAAGACTGTCGAGTGGACCAGTCTAGTAAATAAAATGCCCAGCTAATTGTCTAAAGCTCAATCCCAAAAGCAGTCCAAATAGGTAAATATTACTTCCTTCTAGTAAAAAAGTTTGTTGCATTTTTAAATAGAATATAAAGTGAAGTATTTTTAATACTCTAGTGATATTAAATATGCTTCGTTATGTAATTTATTCAGTACTCTGTTTAACATTTTGCTACTTTTGAAATAGTTTGTTTTACTTATTTTAAACTTGATATAAAATTAAATTTAAATCATCACAATTTAAAAGCATCTTTAAAAAAATATGGGGGCGCTGCCCCCAAACCCCCGCCTTATTATCCTGCCCCCAGCCATTTACAATCCTGGATCCGCCACTGCCTGGTATACTCCTAGCATAACCTTGTTTTTAACAAAAATGCAAGAAGTATGGTGTACCCTAATTGTACCCCAATGCTATTAACCAAGCAATATTAGTGTTGATAAAAAAATATTAATGAATGAATAAAGAGTATATTTTTAAGGGTTAATAGTGTACAAATAAGACAGAAATGGGGGTATCTCACCCATTACTCTATTTCTAATAGTCCCACAAATATGGGTGGACTTGCATTGGATATATACGTAATTTAACGGGACTGGTACAACAAATTAAGACGCGTGTCTAACACATCCCTTATTTTAGGATAAACCTTACATTAATTCCAATTCGGGTATTCCAACAATCTTTAGGTCATGCGGTCTAATGAGTTTGGTTTTGATTTTGTTTTGGTCCTCAATTTTGTCTGAAAACAACGTTTTTTAACATCTCATACTATTTCAGATAAATTTTCTAATGGTGTTGATTAAAGTAAAATAAAGGCTAAAAAATCAGATACAACAACTATTAAACAGTGTCACAACGTCTTAAGACATGTTTGGGAATAGCGTCAGACGCTAGCGTTTTAAAAATGATATCTACGCGCAGCGTTTAGCTTTAGCGTTTTCAAAGTTAATCTGCACCGTTAAAATCTTGTCCAAAACGCTAATGCTAATCGAAAACGCTATACCAAAACAAGGCCTTCATATCTCAAAATCGTAAAGCTATTACCAAACAGCCCACTGTATCTTTCCCATCTCAGATCATATCATTAAACTTGTGCTCCATATCTCATGAAAAAAGAATCTTAACCTAAAATGGTAACGTGATTCAATTCATTTGGGTCTTTTGATTATTAGGTATATTATCAAATCAAAATCAAACAAAAGTGACACAATAGTTTCACGCTATATGCGAGTTTAGCCTGGGAAGGAGGAATTCTAGGTTAACATTTTTTGGGAGGTAGGTGTGAGTGACCCAAATTTTGTTTTCTTTTTCTATTCCTATGATTCTATCTTTTTTTTTTTTACTCTTTTTCGTCTTCAAATACAATTTTTATTTTCCATTTTAAATATCTAAACAAAAAGATGTTACGTTTCGTGATTTGAAACAAATGTGTGAAAAATAATCTTACCATTTGTTACCCATTTAATTGGAACGGAGGAAGTATATCTTATCTTTTTTTGTTGGTGAGATGTAATGTTTGAATCAGATATGAGTGCATGAATTGTGTGGATCTATTTACTGCATTTATTTGAGAATGGAGGATACTAAAAAGAGGCTTCATATATATATTTTTTGCATCAATTTAGTAATTGTTTTATTTTTTTAGCACTAATAACTCTATTACAATTGTAATATTTGTTTATACATATTTTTTAATCTATTGAAACACCGAGAGTTATCACCTTCATTGGAAATTAAGCATGTGACGTTTCATTTGGAATAGTACCCTGGTACAATTAGGCCACAACCTCATTGGCAATATGATGTTAAGTTTATTCAGTAGATTTATCAGTAAACGTGATCTCTAAAAGAGTGTTTATGTTTATAGGGATATTTCTGTTCTAATGAAACAAACTAACAAATCCGACCTTAGCTCAGTTGGTAGAGCGGAGGACTGTAGTCGGTCAATGATCAGCAGATAATCCTTAGGTCGCTGGTTCGAATCCGGCAGGTCGGAATTTTTTGTTATCTTTTTATTTACTCTTTTTAAATAAATCTCTTTCTTTCTTTTTTATTGGCTTTTTTCCAACTCACCGAAGAGCAATGTTATTAGAACCGGACCGGACGGGCCGGTCCAACCGGCGGACCGCGAACCGGTGAGGAATCCGGTCCGGTTCAAATGTGAAACCCGGATCAGCATTGACCCGCCCAAACCCGGTAGACCTGGCGGAACCGGTGAACCGGGTCGACTCGCGGGTTTCTTTCTAAAGTTTTTTTAAATTTTTTGTCTATAAAATAAAATGGAGATAGGATTTGAACACTAGACCTCACCATATAATTCTTAAAGACTATAACCACTTATGCTACTCAACACTTGTTAACAAAGTCAGGCAGAATAGTATATATAGTGTTTTTTGTTTGTGTTGAGTGAATTAAAAACACTCCTAACTTCTAACTATTTGTAAGAAAGATCATGTTTGTGTTGTGTGATTATTTTATAATCTTTTAAAATATTTCAAAGTAAAAAAATATACTATTATTTTTTGTATTAAATAATAATGAATAATTTATATCTAAACAAATATTATCATCTATAAAATGAAGAAATATATACTAATAATAATAAAATATGCAAAGTGTGAAAGAGTATATGAACAATGACATTGAATGTGCTTCGTATTATTTTGAAATAATATGCATATTTAAGTTATGTGATACTCCCTTCGCCCCAAATTATAATGTTTGTTCACTATTCACAGGATCAAACTTCATTCACTTTCTTTCTCTATTTTCGTTAGCAATTTGATAAAATAAAATATTATTGTCACTACTAGTTTTGTAGATCTTTTGATGTAGTTTTTTAATATGTAATTTTTATTTTTTAATTGTATATCATTTGTCATATAAAATGGTTTGAAAATAATTTCAGTCAAACATCGTAAACCGAAACAGGCGTTATAAAATGGGACGGAGGTAGTAATATTTTATTATCTTTAAAAATAGCCCACAAAATATGGTATTATTTAATGTTTTATTATCTAAACATAAATATGAATATTATATACCATGTAATGGGTCGTTGACCCGAGTCAACCCGGTTCAACCGGTTGACTCTTGACCCAGTGGCTTGTCCGGTTCGATGTCCGGTCCGGTTTTCAAAACATTGCCGAAGAGACCATTCACTAAATAAAATAAATCATTAGTCTATAAAATTTCAAATGTGAGTTATATTTAATTAATAATATATTTATGCCGTATTCAAATGTTTTATACAAAACTCTATTAGTATTTAAAAAGAATAAATAAAATTATAGCTTAGAGTCCTAATGTACTTATAGCATCACATACGACGCAAATTATAAGGTACAACCGCCTGTACCGTTTTTTCGGTACAGTCTGCAATTAGATCGACGGAAGGGGAGGTGCACCGACGAAGGAGGGACCGGCCCTAGTGCGACGATGCAGCGACAATAGAAGTTGAATGTGGGGGCAACAATCGATCATGAGTGGGGAGGATGTGGGATGAGCACTCCACGGTGGTGCGGTGGTGAGGATCTCGGATAGGGATAGGGAGGTAGGGTTATTTTTTGTGACAAATTTGAAGAAAATAGAGAATAAACAATACTATCTTATTAGAGAATGAGTATCGTTTTTTTCAGAATGAATACGATGTTATTCATAAATGAGTATTAAACAAATATATGAAAATGAGTACTGTATTATTTTAAAATGGGTACTATTTTATTTCAAAATGAGTACTACGTAGTTCAAAATGAACGTTTATATATATTTGAGAATGAGGACTACTTTACTTCAGAGTGAGTACTATCCAGATGTACTTAATTCTTGGTACAGCCGATTGTACCATATACACCTCCCACATACGATGTTACTTACAATTTGTCTATGTGATATGGATAGAGATCTTTTAACGGTCATCGACGTATAATATAACACTAAATCATTTGAAAATCTTAATTATGATGTTCTATTGGACACGAGGTTGGGTCCTACTTCGACCTTTTTCTCCTCCTGCCACCTCCTCACCCCACACATGGTACAATATCCTTTCCCCTAACATTTCGGCAAAATACTTAAGGGGGATTGAGAAGGATGGGGTACTGGGGTAGGGGTTGGATTTGTAGGGTTGGTTAACGAGAGTAGTAACAAGCTCAATGAAAAATATTGGGATCGTAATGTTTTATTATGACATCTAAAATGAGTATCCAACGAACTTTCACAATGTAACATATAGATATATCAAATTGTGAATGTTGATTTCATGTGCAACACTCATATTAGCAATGTTTTACACATATCTTTTTTGTGGGTGTTTTTCTAAACTTATAGTTGGTCAAAACTGCTTCTAAGCTTATTTAACTTATAAGTCTTTGATTACATACATTTATGTGAGTATAACCTATTTATAAGAAAAAATAATTAAACCTTACTTTTTTAAACATCTTTTTATATTTTTTTCGTTTTGACCAACTCTTTTACAAAATTATCACTAACATTTTATGAATATTATCAAAAGACTAAACTCTTATGTAAGTCACTTTACAAAAAATATTATAATAAACAGTTTATAAGTTAAAAATTATTTATTAGAAATAAGTCAATAAACATAAGAACACATAAACACTTCCTTTATCAAAATAACTCAACTTAAACAATAAACTTCATCTAGGCTCTAGGCCACCCTTGGGCCATCCCCATTAATGGCTTCTATGTTCGGGTATAACTTTACCTAGAGGGTGTTTGGAGTTATGTTTAAAGGAAAATGCTAGAGTCACAAACAGAAAATTCACAAACTTCACAAATTTGCCTTTTATGGATTTTAAATTAAAATATCTTTTATTATTTGAGTGCATCTTATTTCTCGGAAAATGTTAAAAAAGCAAGTTTGTGAATTTTGTGAACGGTTTGTTTGTGACTCATTTCTCATGTTTAAAAGCTACTTTTGAGTCTCTACTTCAATGTAATGTACTTTGTCATATTTGTTAATATGCTTCTGCTTATAGATTATGATTTATAAAGCTTATAATAGGCTCTAAAATTCTTTTTAAACAAAACTAAAACTGTCTATTTTCCATTTTTGTTTAAAATTTCAATTTCTTTGTCAATTTACCACTCTCAAACAGACAAACACTATCTTAGACATGCATATTTAGTGCTTTTCAGAACAGCGAAAATGAGTGCCACACTATAATCTTACCATTCCTCAAAATTGAACTACCACATATCTTAGTTGAGTTTATTGCACCAACACCCTTACCCCTTAGTAAATGTAAATTATTATCCTCATAACATCAAAACTTACGCCGTTGCCCCTCACTGTTCTGATATTGTTATGCCAATGCCCATTTGGACAAAAATATCCTTCAAATATTAGGTGAATAACTCTGTTGCCTTCTATGATTTTTGAAATGGGCGCCAGTGTCCCCTCTCTTTTTTCTTTATTGTTTTTCTTTTTTCTATTCTTTTTTTTCATAAAGAGAAGAAAAATGTTTGTGTTTGAAGTAATGAAAATTGTTTTTTTCAAACCTACATTTTTAAAAAAGTTTTAAAAAATAAAACATTTTTCTGTTTCAAATAAAAATGAAATAAAAAATTTAACATATACTTCATTTGTTAAATTAAATATGTTCATTTTTTGTCTAAAAAAGTTTTAATCTTTTTGAATATGTCGGGACCAAAAGAATACAAAGTAAGGTCTTTTTAATATATAGTTAATTATATATTGATAACATTTTTTGGACCAATGCGCAAAAGATTTCTTCATGACTTAATTTTCCTTATTCTATAAGAGTATTGTTCATATACTAATCTTTTTCTTTATTTTCTTTTCTATTCTTTTTTCTTTTATTTTCATTTTGATTATAATAAAAGAAACTGTATAAAATTAATGAACAGAAAATGAGAAATGAGCTTTAATAAAAACAATATTTCATTGTTTTTCGTATCATGAAAATGAACCAATAAAAACATCTTTTGGACAAAAAAATAAAATTGTTTATTTTGAGACAAATGAAAATTGTTCATTGTTTTAAATAAAATTGTTTATTTAATTGATTTTTATTACAAACACAAAAAATTGATTATTAATACATTATAAAAAATTTAAAAACATTTATGAAACAAATAGTACGGAGTAGTAAAAAGAAAAACAATAAAGAAAAGAAGGGGCGTTTGTGCCATTTTCTCAAAAGCAAAGGGAGCAGTGAAACTATTCACATAATATTTGAAGGATGTTTAGTCTAGAGAAGCATTGGCGTAGCAATATCAAAACAATGAGGGGCAACGACGTATGTTTTGAAATCATAGAGGGTAACAGACTAACAGTGCACATTTACTAAATTACAAGAAGTCATGGTGTAATAAACTACTCCATCCCAGAAAAAATGTCACGTTTACTATTCTGACCTATCGATAACTTTTGTTTGTTTACTCGTTTTGGTTGACCATTTGATAAAATAAGATATTCTTATCGCATCTTGTTTTGTAGAACTTTTATATACTTTTAAATGGTGTAATTTTTACTTTTTATTACTCTACTAATTTGAAATTAAAGTGATTTTAAAAGAGATGATATTTTACACGTCGTTCGAAGTGTTTCAAATAAATTAGAACGGAGGAAGTATATCTTTGTTCAAGAATAGATTGCAGAAGTTAAAAACTATAGTATCCGAGATAACACAATAACTATTACTCCGGAGTAATATTTACAATTATATATTAATAAACAAAATAAAAACAACATATTCAAAAACTACATTCTAAAATAAATATAATGATTCAGAGTACTAAATTTACACTGTTACTCGAAATATATTTTTCATGTAACGTAAAGTCAAAGTTTGCACAATTCAACTGGAAAATTCCAGAAATTGATATTTATTGTTTTCTTATTCTCCGTAAAATGAAGATGAGAAAATTAATTTGAGATAGAGAAAGTATATAAATTGCTACATATTAAGTTAGAGAATAATGAATAGAATTATAACTGTCCACTTCATATGTAACACTCATTATAATCTATGTTACACAAAGTAATTATTCTCTTAATCCCCATCTAGGCTAGCCTTGAACACTAATACCTTAACCAAACAGGCAAACACCATTTTTAAGTATTACGGAGTACTTCACAAAAAATGATGTTTACAAATTGCACATACATTGGAAAACTGCACAAGTATAGACAGTGTACATAGTAAGAATGCATGTTAGCATTCTACATTAAAAATATAAACATAGTACAAGACACATTTGCAAGCCAAATTGAGCTACAAATCACATCAGTGGGAAACTGGTGAAATTATTGGGGGTGAAAAATAAAAAAGAATGAAAATAAAAAAAAAAAGAAGAATTTATGCACAATCGAATCGAGCAAATGAAATATCGAAAACCGGTTAAATGCTGCGGGTAGAACGAGATGACCTTGTTCCACTACCCAAGCTCGAAGACCCGTCTTTCTTCCACATCGCCTCAAAGTTATTGAAGCATTTCAACGGTTTCACCTGCGTTTGTATGTGCCAATAAGAGTGTAATATGATCACTTGAGAAAATGCAGAAATCGCGGCAGAGAACTACAAAGAGACATTTGTAGCAATAGCAGTATTGTGTGGGAAGAAGAGATGAGAGGGATTTTACCTTCCAGTGCCTCTTGTGGCCAAATTTGTTGTATATAGACTCCAGCCTTGGTATTATTTGCTTGAAAGTAGGCCGTTCGGATGGCTTATCATTCCAACATTCCTCAATTAACCTGAAGAATTGGTACAGATATGATCACAAGGTGTTCCCTGACAAACATTGAGCGACAATAGCAGATAGGGATGACAATCCCATCCTTAGCCGAAGGATATCCGACCCACCCGACTATATTAAATGGACGAAAATCCAAAAATAAAAAATATAAGGATGATACTCGGATGATGGATGGATCGGGTTGGATACAAGAACGGAGGAACAAACAAGAGAATACAGTCATTAGAGAGAGCTAACTATGTTTTCTTTGTAGTTTGTTTTACATGCTTTATTTTTTGGTTGAATTTTAATGTGATTTTCCTTTCTCATGTGTAAGCTCCTCTCGAAGTGGGAGCATAACACCTCGTTGTCAAATCTATATTTTCTCATAAAGATCATGAAATTCGAGTATTGGGGAAATTTTAATATAATACCAAGTATCAATTAAAAGAAATCAATGGCACTTACTCTTTAAGCCCATGAGCATAAAACTTTGCAGGTGCTTTAAAAGGTGGGCGTTGTTTTGCCGCATATGATTTAGGCACTTCATTGTCTTTCTTGGCACGGAAAGGAGGACAGCCTTCAATCATCTAAAGCAAAACATAGGACAAAGATCAACTTATCAAGCTTGCTTAAAATGCAATCCGTCAAAAGGGAGTCCTAGAATTACCAAACGTTCATCCAACATTGTTACAATATAAAGTTGGGATTACCTCTTGTAAGATTAAAGCAAAGGAAAAAACATCCACTTTGGTATCATATTCTTCATTCTTGAAAACCTCCGGAGCTACATAGCGGCCTACTCATTTGAACCGAGCAAATGGTTAGAGAAAATTTCAGAAGGATCATTCTGGAAAAATGGAAATGCCAACCATCAAATATCAAATAATTACAAATCCTCAAACACAAAAGCTTGTCATAGTCTTTTTACATAAAAGAAGAAATCAATTCATCTTTGTGAAGATTTTAGAAAGGGGCATAATCATCTCTAAAAAGAGACTAGCACTCACAAGAAGCCTCGTCGCATGCCAAGGGCCGGTCCTCTCTAACCCTGTTTGTTACTTTTACTAACTTACTAATTCCAAAGTCAGCGACTTTCAGATGCCCAGTAACATCTCGCAAAATATTTCTGTAATGACAGAGACAAACACCAGCTTACAGAAACATACTTGTGGAAACTAATGTAGAAGTGTACAATTTTGAGTAAAAGGATACAATTATTATGGAAAAACCATACGAGGGCTCCAAATCACGGTGAATGATTGCCTCAGGTTTGTTTTCATGCAAATAGTTCATCCCCCTGAAAGCCACAAATAGTAAAATAGTTTATTAATGAACTATATTATAAAAATATAGGAAATAAGAAGTGCTTAGAATGTACCGATACAGAATACACGGGTGTCTATATGTATTTGTGTCCATTTAGATGTGCATGCACACACACTTCACGTGTTTTTATGTTAATTGACATTGAATTTCATGTTATTGAACCCAATATAGTCGGGAACTTGGAACTAAGGTGAAAACTGATGACGAAGAATGTCTTTACACTTTACTTGAATGAGATTCAATAGCAACCCAAAACAATAATGTTACTTGCGGTTATACTTATAGACATAAAATTGTATGTCATGCCAAACTTGTGATACATTAAATAAAGCTCAATGAAAGAAAATAATGGATTGATGGGTCCATACATTAATTACATTTACATGAAGAACTGTGCACTATGTCGATAGATCAATATAAATGTGGATTAAGGAGACAATTTAATTTCCTGATATAAATGGAGAAGTGGAGAACACAAGGTATATTTAATACTATGTACAAAAGTCTTCTAAGTTTTTCCTAATGACATCATGGGTGAACGACCTTACAGCAACAATTACAGTACTATATATTCCTTAGTATCCAGAAATATATAGTCCACAGTAACCATCAATTGTTATTTGATAGTAGAAGTACAGGACAGAGTAATGACAAACCTTGCAATGTCCATTGCAAATCTAAGAGCTTTTGTAGGCTTAAGCGGTCCATTTTTATCTAGATAGGCACGTAGATCTCCCTGAATAAAAACAATAAGTGCATGAGCAAAGGAAACATATGTGAAGAACATTATTAATTCCAAATTACAGTTAAGCAAATCAAGCCGAGAGTATATGCAATCCATCAACATGATGGCATTGATTTCAAATGATAGTTAAGCTAATGCTCTTTCTTTCAGATGGTATCAAAGAAACCCAAGATGTTGAATACCTTTGGTAAATATTCCACCACTATCATCATTGGACTACTCTGTGTTACAGCACCAAGAAATTGAACCACATTTGGATGTCTAATTTTCTGAAGAAGTGTTAGCTCATCTATAAATGCCCTCCTACATTCATCAAAGGATTGAACATATGAATCCAACACTCCAACCAATAAGAAATAGCAGGGATGGAGAACATGATGTAATGTGACTTACACTTTCTCCTCATCAGCAATCACTTCTTCTCCAAACTTTTTTACAGCAACTTGGGTTCCACGCCACGAGGCTATGTGAAATGTTCCCTACAACACCACCATACACAAAAAAAGTTAATAAATGAGGTATTCAAAAGAAATACTCCCTCCGTCCCAAAAGAGAGAGCCATGTTTCAGTATATGATGTTTGAGCAAAGGTATTTTTAATTCAATACATTTGAAAATTGGTGTAGAATTTTAAAAATAAAAACATTATATTTAAAAACTACATCAAAAGTTCTACAAAAAAGTGGTGACATAGACAATTTAAATTGTCAAAATGCATAAAAATTTATAGTTTGATCCTAGAGGAGGACTCTTTTTTTGGGACTCTTTTTTTGACACACACACACACACAAAACCAAATTACATAAAGCTGGAACCATAAAAGCATAAGTACCTTGGCCAATTCAATACTATTAGTGAAGTCAAGCTCTTCTGGGCGAATCTCATATTCTGGAACTTGACGAGCATTTTTAACATGTGTGGGAGCTACCTACACAAGAATATTTTTTCGACAAAAAACCCATAAGTAAAACCAGGCAGAACCTGCCTTTTGACCAAAAGCATTTCCAAAATGCATATACTCCCTCGTCTCATTTCATGTGCCCTAATCGTGCAACGAAGCAAGATTGAAGACTTTTTTCAGTTTGAATTTTGTAATGCTTTAATTAATATTAGCCAATAAATCTCTCATAATTAAAAGCTACATCAAAAGTTCTATAAAACAAATAGAGACATGGATTAATTTTTATAAAAAATGTTAAGGTAAGCAAGCTAAGAATGATGATACAATTTAACAGGTGAAGAGTAACTAAACTACAGCTGATAAAATGCGACAGAAAAGTAAGTGTACGGTGTACCATAAGCCTACGGTCCATATAAAAACCTATGAACCTTCTAGCATGTGAGATATAATAAGAGCAAAGAAAAGAGAACAAAAACAGACACCCAGCCCGAACTTAGAGAAGGCCCATATATGAATTTATTGTGACAGAGGGAGTATAAGTCTTTAAAAAGATAGAAAGAAAATAAATCTCACTGGACGCCTTGCCCCATGTTTTTCCAGTAGCTTAATCATGTCATGATTTTTATAATGTATTGCATCTGCCAGAGGCTGTTCAAACAAAACTAAAAGGTGAAAAAACATATCCAAGCCACCAACTAGGACACAAGAAGCTTTAGAATACAGCATATTCTTTCATATTGAAGATACAAGTGAAATAAAAGCTAATGAAACACATATTCAGGCAGTTTTCTACTCACTCCATACTCCATATAAAAAAAGAGTCAATCACAAGAAGCAAATTTTCATCATTTTTTAGAGTGTTGCTAAAGCCACACCCCATTTGACTATATCCACCCCATTTATAACACATTGACAAGTTTATCCTTAAAAGTTTTTTTAAAAAAAGAAAGGAAAAATATAAGGGCAAACTTGTCCATTTCTAATGAATGGGGTGTGGATTTAGCACTACCCTTTTTTATTTTTAATTAAAAAAAGTGTCCTAAAAAGTTGGGTGTTAAACCAAGGAATGGATTTTGAAATATAGCTATATTTGATTATACCCAAGAGTTGTATCTTACTAAACCTAAAAAGTTGTAACTTTACCTTTTAAAAATAAGACTCTTTTATGGGAGGGAGGGAATAATAATTTAGAAAATGTTTCACGAATAGATAACAAAACAGCAACAAACTTGCCCTTTGTAGAATATCAACTGCACCTCCATCATACCTCTATTATAATCATTAATCAAGAGCAAAGCTGGGGTTCAAAAAATGCCATATAGGATTATGTTGTGTGGTAAAGTTCTTTTTGTTTCCTTCTATAAACCAGAACTGGATTTTACAGACTATTGAGCCATCTTTTACACTAGTAATTCACCAACTACTGGTGAATATATGGCTGAAGAAGAGATGGAGAGAAAATTCAAAATTGTTCTCCCTCTTCATCCAACCAAACACACATACAGGAAACATGTATTTATGAAGGACAAGACAAGGCACAGAAATCAAAGCCAGTCCACACAGTCAATAATAAGAATAAAATCAAACCAAACCAACTATGAAGAAGCAGTTTTAGCTTTCGAAAGCAATTTACCGTGCTACCCCAGCGGTCCTTGGGATCAACTTCAGCGCCATTGTCAAGCAAGAGCTGGGCAACATCAGTGAAACCCTGGCAGGCAGCTACATGGAGAGCAGTCCGGTGATCTATGTCAGGCGAATTCACGTCGACCCCAGACTCCAAAATCTCCTTAATCCCCTCCAAATCGCCTTCATTTGCCAAGTACATCAGCCTCACCCTCGGATCAATGTCCAACACTCCACCTTCACCCTCCTCTTTCTCATCTACTAACGATTCAATAATCGCCATATCCGGTGCAAGAGACGATTGCTTTCCCAGGGTGAACCTCACCGGATTGTTTTGGTCCATCTAAAGAGAACGAAAGAGAGCTAAAAACCCAGAAATCTTGAAGAATTTTGAACACAGAAGTTGGAAATGGTGTGGGTTCAAGCATTCAACCCAGGACTGGATCTTGAAACTCTGTACAAAAGGTTGGAGTTGAACGTTTGATGATTAAAAGAGTCAAAACTTACTTCTTTTTCGGAATGAGAAGGAGAAAAATCTGGGTGCTTTCTGTATATTGCAGAAAGTGGAGGCGATAATGATTAATGAATGAAGGCGTGCAAAAATCTTGTTGATGAATTTAACGAAAGAGAGAAAGAAGGTTTTAGGAAAGAGTTTGATGAGAAAGCCAGTGAAAAGCCATTGACATTTGAATCAACAAAAATTGGGATTAGCTTCTCAACTGAGCTTGGATTACTTTTGGGCTAGTGAATTTAGGATGAACTTGCTAAAATAGTTTAAAATTATTTTTAAATATTAATTTTGAAATATTAACAATTAAAAATGTTTTTTTTGGGAAAATAATTTTCTTCCTACCAAATAATTGATTGAAAAATATTCTTTTTTGAGAATACTTTTTCTCTAACCAAACACATAAATTAGTTACAACTTGATACTTTGTACAAAATAAAGTACTCCAAAATGGGTACTTTTTGGGTTACTCTTCTTAAAATGTCCATAAGAAATCGAGGGAAGAATAAATACAGCAAAAGTAAAAAGTGTTAGTTCCATGGTGTTGGCTAATCTTTTGGCAAAATAGAATTCCATATTTATTATATGTTTTACTAAGTAGAAACCTCTATTTGTTAGGAGAGGTTTATTTTATTTAGACTTCTAGAGCTGCTGCAGTTTTCGAGGTTGACGCAGAAGATGTTACAGCATGATGCTGCAACACAGTGTGCGGGATCAGAGGTCTGAGCACGGGATTTTAAGCTGCAATCTGAATTAGAGGCCTATTGGGATTGTGATTACATGATAATAACTCCAACTGTACATGCTAAGGAATTCCAACTCGTTAGGCTACTTGTGGATCAAGATTAATGAAGTAGAGTTCAAGCCAACTTCTACTATCTTATTCCTACTAGGATTGTGTTAAGAGGAGTCTATAAAAACGAAGCTGGTCCCTTGGAATTACTTGGAGCAATTGAGAGGGAAAACAAAGAATATACGATGATGTAGAGCATTCCCGTCGCGTCCCGGAGCTTCCCATGCGTGAAGAAGGTTACGATCTACATGAAGGAGGAGATCTTCAACGCCAAACAGATCGTGACAACCAAGAGATGAACCAGATCTTAAGGAGAGGGCTGCCAACACGTTTGTCCTCGTGATCTCGGTGGAGATGTGATAGCCGAAGCGGATCTGAACAGAGTTCGGGTTAGAAATCCTAGATTAGAAGTTTTGTCATAGCAATTCGGAGAAGGGTGTCTCATCATGTTGTTATGTACCGGTGTAACTTGCATCTAGTGATTTAGTGGAAGGCTATTACACGGACGTGGGCCCCTCAGACTAGAAGAATTTGCTCCGAACTGCGTAAACATATCTGGTGTTATTTTTTACGCTTTTTATAGTTACAGCATTCTGCCCAGTAGGTGCTGTAACGCTCTCTGCATCATCTGCTTCTGTGTGTGCTTGTGACAGAGAAGTGTTATAGCACACTGTCCGTCATCTGTTACTGTGATAGTGTTGCAGCGTCTTCTCTGCAGCATCGTGGATTGATTTGTTTGCATAGCTCTTAATTGGTGATTTCTGCTGCGCCCCCACGAACTTACAAACAGGAGCGTCAGGATGTTCCAAATCGTATCAAAAGATTGAGAAAAAACTTACGCCCACAAAATAATGCACATAAACTGCTTACCAACATGATATTAAACAAAGTACCTCAAAATCGGTCTTTATTTAAATATTTTTCCTAAAATGTGCATAAAGAATCTCGAGGTATTTTTCTTGTTTTACCTCTTAATTATTTCAATACTACATTTTATACCATGTTGGTAAGAGTACATTTTCAGAGTAAACATCTATTTTTAATACGTGCAAGGACTATATACTATATACTCCCTTCGTCTCAGTGTATTTGTCCGAGTCAAACTGGACAAACTTTGAGCTTTAATTAAATAAAAACTGTAATGTATTTTAACATAAAATGACTTTATTAGATTTATCGTATTGAGAATTTTCAAAATTATATTTCATTATGCTAATATGCAATATAAATTGAGAGTAATTGAAGTTCAAAGTTTGTTCAATTTGACTCAAAAAAGTCAAACTGGACAAATATACTGTGACGAAGGTAGTATTATTAGTTAGAGCCGACCTGGAGCGGCGTTACTTTCTTTGGCATTTAAATTAAGCCCTCGATTCATAATAACTAGGAGAGATTATAGTTGGAGGAGATTTTGGTTGGCATACATGCACATTAGTAGAGGTAATGTTGTCTTTCAATCTTTCATATTATAGAGGTATAATGAGTTTTTATTTAGTAAAGGTAATGTTGCCAAACTAATGAGATAATCTAGGGAATACAACAAGGGTATTAGAATTCAAACAAATATGATAATAAAGAATAGATAAAAGAGCACAATCCTTAAGTTTATTTTGGCAAATAAAAGAAATTAAATCAAAAGTGCAAGAATGAAAATTTTGGGCAGTTTAAGAGATCCAATCCAAAATGTAAAGAGATCCAATCCAAAATGTATTATAGCACTTTGAAATTAAGGTCCTTATTCACTAATCAATCTCGAAACTAAGAAGGTTATTCTCATATATATCAATATGATGATAAGTATTACTCTTTAAAATTGACATCCACAAATGAAACAAGTAGAAACTTTGAACCCATAAGTTAAAATTCTTTTTAAATCTATATGCACTTGCTCCTTTTAGGTGCCGCTTTATTAGGGTTTGGATATATCCGATCTGATTTGATTTTTCAGATATCCCAAATTTTCGGATCAGTAAATATCTATTCTATGTCCGATGCGAAAATTACCGGATACCCAAATTTTGTATGTCCGAAATTTCGGATCGGATCAATGAAATATCAAGAAAAAAATTATATTTATTATTTTTGAATTTTAATTTTTTCCAATAATTCTAAAAAAGTGTTTAGAATGATTTTTTTCTTTATTAAAATAGTAGAGGCCATAAATTGGACTTAAATTTGAAGTGAACTCTATTCTAAATTTCTTAGTTACCTTGATAGTGTAATCATACGTCATAATTTTATAAATGTATGAAAAAAGAATATCAACATAATTGATAAATAGAACATAGACAAACGGGCTAAAGTAGAAAGCTTGAATTAAGCTTAGATTTAAATATTTATGATGATGAAAATGAATTGAGTTTAAGTCGTCTGAACTTTATTTTTATATTTATCTTTTTTAAAATATGAACTTCAAATATCCACGGATATTCGAAATCGTAATATGTCATTCCATATCCAATCCAAACTTCTTTGGATATCCGATCCAAAATATCTGAAAGCAAAAATATCATATCAGATATCTATTTTTCAGATCGAATTGGTCTGGATCGTGGTCGGATATTTTTTAACACCCCTACGCTTTATTGGAAAGAAATTATATACCTCTATTTGGAAAATTTTAAATTGAAACTAACTAAAATATATACTCGGTTAAAAAAAGACAAAAAAAATGCTACATTAAATAACTAAAATGCTTGTTTGGCAACTTTAGCGTTTAACTTTAGCGTTTCACAAAGACATTATTTCGTTTTAGCATTTCAAAATATAAAGGTGGCAGATGTAGTATATATGAGTTGGGGGCATATGCCCCCTACTAAATTTTTGTAATAAGATAATATTAAAAAAATACATATATGTGCCCCAAACAAAAATTAATATGACCCCATCTAATTAGGTATAATAAGTAGTTCAAAAAAATTTGGGGGGCGCTACCGCCGAGTCCCCGACCAATGGCGCCCCCATCTAAAATAATTCCTGGATCCGCTACTTAAAGTTAATCTGCGCTATTAGAAATATTCCAAAATACCATGTAATTAATTATCAGAAGGATCTGAATTGTGCGACTCAAGCTATACTAAAATATACAACTTGTATCATCAAATTTAGGAAAGGGCATCAATTATAAATAAAAACCAATCCCCTAAACAAAGTTATTCTACTTTGAAGCAAATACAATTAAATAGATATCATAACCAAAAGGAGGCATTTTTTTAAAGCAGTGATCACAAAAATACACTATACTAAACGGCAAATTCCATTTCATTTACATTTACAACAAGTCTATACCAACCTTCTCCCAAGTGCTTTGATCAGTCATAAGAGCAGACTAAGATTTGTTCTCCATTATACATCTGGCTCATAGATCTCAGGAAGAGTGTTTTCGATCTGTATTAAGGAGCAAGAACACATGTTCCTGAACTGCACTAAGATTCCATGAGTTACATGCTATTATGCTAAGCACCATGTGTAGATGTATCCGTAATCTTTGACTGTGCCGAAACTTGTTCAGATTGAGATTCATGAGGTGTGTTATTATGTTGTGTAACCTGTTGGCCCTGCATTACAACAAACCAGCATCTAAATACATGCATTTCAGGTCATCAACAAGTAAACATATTCGTGTTTCTGTTTTTTTCAAAAGGAACTTCTTTCCCAAAAAAAGAGTTGTCTTGAATAAGTTGCTGTCCCAAAAAGATAAGCCGACAAATAAATATTAATAAAACTTGAGCTAGTGACAGTTACTCTTAGTTAGCACTACAAAAAGTTCAATATGTAAAGATATCTAACACAAATAAAAGTTGATGCTGACTTATGCTAAAGTTATAGTGTGATTAAGATTCAAGCAGATATTGCTGCCTCACCTGATCGATCAGCTCCTGTTCTTGATGTAGCTGACCATGGGGATACCCTCCTTGTTCTTGCTGCACAGTGTGTGATGTTTGTTGATTTTGTTGATATAGCTGCATGTGTTGTTGATATGTTTGTAGATCCATTTGGTATTGGTAGGCAAGTGCTGGAGACTGGTTATACGACTGCAGTTGCTGATCATGTACTTGCAGGTACGGCTGCATTGGCTGCACCATCTGCGGATATTGCTGCGGAAAAGTTTGTGCCGTTTGCTGTAGATATGGTATCTGTTGCTGAAGGTGTTGATGCTGATAGGTTTGCTGTAGATATTGTTGTTGCAGTTGTGGATGCGGGTAGGACTGCTGCATTTGCAGAAACTGCTGATATTGTTGCTGATAATGGTATTGCCACATCTGATAATATGCTGCTTGATCATGGTGTGTGGGCCAAACCTGCTGGTTAGTTTGCACTGGGCATTCTGCCGTATTTACTTGGGTGCAAGAAAGAGGTGAAGGAAACATTTGTGATATAATAGGACCACCTTGACTATTTTCTGTATTTAATGGACGGGTTTCAACAGTAAAGTCTTCTTGTTGTGGGCGCAGCTGTTGATCAAGTTGTTCAGAATTATGGATGGTATCTGAACCTCCACTACTACTAGAAGGTCCTGCCATGTGTTTATTTCCATCCGTCACATTCTGAGGTTGAATAAAATCTGCAACTTTGTCTGGGATTGCAACAGAATGATCACAGCCACCATTACAATGTTCCTCCAAAGAAACTGACTCCATATGATGTTCAAGCTCAAGTTCCTTTGGACAATTAGCATTTATTGACCTGTCTTCTACCTGGGGTGTTTCTGTTGGCATATTTGGTCCTGATGGCTGTTCAAACTCTTGTAATTGCTCAAGTGATCTAGATGTATCCACTTTGGATTGACCAATAGAGTTAGCTGCCCACTCCATTTGATCAAAATCATCAGTTAATTTTGATTGTTTAGATGCATCAGTTTTAGATTCATCTTCGAGGTCAGCAGGAACCCTCCGGGATGGTTGATCATCATCATTCAGTGTTGAGATTTGCTCCACAGAAACACTGCTAGGCTGTTTATTATCTATTGATGGACGCAAAGGTAACATCTCCTGCTCCGGTTGCTGGATTAGATGACCGGAACTTTCATTTTCAGATAGATTAAGCAGGACAGACTTAAAATTTTGACGCTCTTTAGATGTGGTGTGCTTAAATAATGGGCTGACCCTTATGAACTGGGGAAACAATCTGATGTGAAGATTCCATGCCTTTCTGACATCATAGACTGTTCCACAAAGATCAACAAACTGCAATTGATTGATGTTAGATGACCAGAAATCATATCATATTACACAAAATCTAAAAGGAAAGTATGGGTGTTTAATTATCTTTTTTTTGGGGG